TTTGAATTGAAAAGTATCGATATTCGAAATATCTTACGCTGTCTGTATCCACTACAAAGCTCATTTTGATCAGTGCAGCAGTAAAAATTTATTGAAAGAAGGTTGAAATTATATTTTAAACACCTGTAAAATCAACAAATCTTAAAATGTTCAGAAATCTTTCGAGATATGTCTATACATTACTGAAGACTATAACATATCCAAGTATCAACAAAATCCGAAGTGTAATTACAAAAAATGTCCCATTTCGCGCAGAATGACCCTATAAGAATCCACACGGATGGGATTGTATCTTGTTTACCGATTTCTAATTATTTTACGAACTAACGTCGATTTCACGACCGTGAACGCCGCGTTTCTGGTTCCCATTAGCGACCGCATTCTTTCACGTTTTATGACGCCACGTACAAAGTAATAAGCCGTTTCTTTGGATCCATAGTCCAGATTAAGTCACCGGCTTCCGTTAGACATACGAAAGAGGATGCGCGTAGTATAACGGGGGTTCGAATTAATCGTTGTGGTTCGCGTTGGTTACCAATTATCGTCGATCCATCGAGTTTCCAGTCTACCCGAGTCTCTCGTGGATCCATCGAAATCCGGATTCGATCGTGTTACAAAAACGTTGGTCGAGAAATGGGACTCAGTCCAGTGACGAAAGTGGATAAAATATACTCGGAACGGAACCGATATCGTGTCGGTTGGAATTCCACGATGACGCAGACGGAAAAGTGACCGGTGGAACGGTTAGTCAGGATCAAGAGACCGTGTACCACCTGAGAATTTCTTGTTGCGCCTGCGAAATCACAATGTGTCCTTGGTTGATTGGCCGAACACCAGGGCACCGATTCACTTAATGAAACGAGCTAGATATAAGGAAACGCGATTCTCCGCATCCGTGATCGCCGGCCAAAGAAAGCGGTCCCATTGCCCTACGAAACAGCGGTGAAATCAATTTCACCCGAACGGAAAGAATGCCACCTGACCGTACAGGGTATCGCGGCGTTGCCCGTGGTTTGGAATTAAGATCGTGCCACGATTTCCATACAGAGCTCGCCGGTTATACAGGGTGACCCAGCCGAGTCGGGTCTCCTTTCTGGTGGCAATTTTAAAGTAACTTTAACACGTTGACTGCCACAGTGAAAAAGGCCGTACGTAGCCAGACACACTTTATTTCGTTTTTTAAGTCATAAATTGTCGAAAATATTTGAGTTTAGTTAATAGAGGCTGTAGGTCTTGTTTTAAATTATACTGTGATATTAATTTCATGCAAACATTTTATAACGGTGTTTAAATAATCCAGACACTTTTCAATGTACGTGTCACCCACATTTGGGTGACGTGGCAGTCAAAGTGTTAATGGAAAATAGTCGGATGACTCGAAGGCAAGTAGCTTCCTCGGATAAGGTAAAGTTTAACTTTGTGCAATGAAACATTTCTGTGGAATGAACTTTTGTGGAATGATACTTTATGGAATGACACTTTATGTAGAATGAAACTTTGAGAATGGTTACCCTCATGGAGCCTTATAGAGTTTCTGAAGTTTTCGAAACTTTCTGGAAAGAGATGAAGAATTATTGAAAATTGTATAAAAAATAGTTTAGTAGAACACCACCAGTTTGACTTCTCATTAAAAATTATGACGTCGCGAAGTGTTTATAACCCGGCAGGACACGATTAAGCAGAAAGAACTATATGTGTAACACCCTGTACGTGTATAGGCCTCCATAGTTCACTTATCGCTGTCCCTTAGTCTCTTTTCTCGGACAAAAATACAGAGACGCCAGGTAATGGGGCAAGAATGAACGGTGCCAACGTTGTCACGTGGGCACAGACAGCGTTTTTTATCATCTCGTGGCTCATCGTGAATTGCGCCGCGCTTATAGCGAATTCGTAGGCGTTAAATAATGTTTCCGTGGCCAATTTACTGTTACTGCTTGCACGATGGTAACCTGTGCCCGGCCAGCACGGAACCGCCTATTTACGAGCGAGCCGTAGAGCTCGCCTAGACGCTGTGCGTTGCACTATTTGTTACGATAAATCGGATCGGGCCCAACTTGTCTTGGACTGTAGGTTTTACGGAATGATCATCCTTATTGTCGGACAATAATCGGTCGTGGATATAATTTACGATTGATATAATATGTCTCGAGACGTTACACCAAAAAATTTTCCCTTGACTTTTTATCCAAAAACTTTTTTGAGTTACGAGTAAGAACAGTTTCAAGTTTACGTTCACGGTTTACAGTTAACGGTCAACGAGGGATCTGTTTTTCGTCGTTTTAGCAGTCGATTCTTTGTTGGTAGGGTTTAAACGCGTTTTGATTACTGGTCACGCGCTTAAGTTGGACAAGAAGAACGGTAACGATGCCACGATATTTCTTTTTCCCTACGTTTTATCCACAATTCTACAAAGCACCGTTCATGTTTGTCTCGTGAATCAATCTCTCTGATCGAGACGGAAAGGTTAGTATGGCCTCACCAAGCGGCCAACCATCGCTCCACCGCGTCTGAAAACAGTGATTCATTCACGGATCGTTCGCGTAAACGTGGAACGTGGGCCGGTTCACTGACGCCAATAGTAAAAGTGTCGTAATCGGGCGTAGCGTGTTTTTTTCCCCCTCTTCCACTACCCTTCGATGAATCACGCGATAACCACGCAACGCTGGTAAAGACGAAATTCGTGACAGGTTTTTCTTGTTTTTTTTTTTTTCCTATGACGTTGGTGTCGCGCAAATTGCAGCAACCATGATTCGTTGCGGCCGATCGAACACCGGGTAGATTGATCGGTTAGGCGCACTGATCTCTATATCTGGAACCCACTTGTCCTCCCCCCTTGGACGGAGAAAAGTGGCTTTTGTCCCAACCTATAAGAAAAAAAATTGAATTTTGCCCCGCCCCCCCCCCCCTTCCCAGAGTTACAAAATTCTTGCGTAATATTTAATATTGCAGTATAATTTCAAACACGACCAACAGCCTTTAGTAACAAAATGCATATAATTCCAACGATTTATGACTTTAAAAACAAAATAAAGTGTGTCTGGCTACGTACAGCCTTTTTCACTGTGGCAGTCGTGTGTTAATATTTTTGTACCTTTCTATTAATTTCAAATATAAACTTTCTCACTGACACTAACACTACATGAGAACGACGAAACCAGTCACTCCTTTTCCAATAATATACAGGGTGAGTCAATAAGAACTATGCACGAACTAAAATAACTCATTACCTATTAGTTGTATTAAAAAACGTTTCAATAAATTACATAGCATTTTAAGGGACGCATCGGATGGATACAATTTGTTTTCATTAAATCTAATTTTTTTTAAACATCAAGGTGACCTTGAGTTTTTTCAAGGTCAATGCATCCTTTTTTTAATACAATCATACTATAGGTCGTTGAATTCGTCCATCTATTAGCAACAACGTGGTATTCAAAAATAGATGCCTTGATCTTGAAAAAAACAAATATGATATAAGAAAATCAAATTGTATCCATCCGATGCATCCCTTAAAACGCTATATAAGTAATTAAAACATTTTCTGATACAATCAATAGGCAATGAATTATTTTAAATAGTAGTTCTTACCGATTCACCCTCTATGTATTTGCAAAAATTTCCGAGCTCACCCTCGTTCTAGGCATGTTATCAAACATTTTAATGAATACGTTCGAACGATTCGTTTCCGATCAACAGAGTTTCAAAAAAAACAAAACCAAATATCGATTCCACGAGAGACCACGATTACTCCTCCACCAAGAGCCTGTTCGCGCCTCAATAATCACAGTGTCTGTGTGTGTACAGTGACACATCGACGCCGTCCAATTGCACCGATCATTCTCGAAGATCAGCCGATCGTTATAAAACACTGTCCGGACAAAGAGATGTGGTCAGGCTCTTAAAATTTCTCATCTTTGCCCTCACACGTTCCAGCTTATTGGCTCGTAATTTCCGTTTCAGCTGCCAGAAAACCAATATACACATACATATATGTATACATACACGGTTCGCGGGAAGATATCGTTTCGTGTTGGAAGAGGTCGGCCACGACCGTGACCAGTTTTGCAACTTGTATGCCACAAAGTGGTTTACGATTCGAAAAAGAGAGGGTTAGGGGGGGGGGGTATAGGACGGGGTTCTGATAGTGCAACCGAGTTCTCGCCGCGGAGCATTAGCGCGAGTTCGCCATCAGTCGAACGGCTGTCGACGGTTTCGCGGAGATGCCAGCCCCGCCGTATAACCTGTTTCAGTGATCTAAGCTGGTTATCACAACCGTTCCCGTTCGCTTTGCCGGGCATAATTTCACGTTTTTCTGAAAATGTCTACCGGATACCGGGGGTCCATTAAAAGCTAACCGCTGGTTGTCCGGCGATTGTGGTTCACTGTCAATTATAAGTAGCTTCTCTTGGGCTTTCTGATCATCCCCCTACCCTCCCTGCACTGGATAGTTTGACGGGAACACGAACGGATTACCCTCGATTCTAACATACAGTAAATCTTCGATGTGTGTTCGAAGGCTCCTCGGCACTGAATATTAAATATCTCATAAACTAATGGCCATATGACGCTGAAACAAATATCATTTGGCTTCAGAATTCCAAGCTCTATCACTGTGCTAAGCCTCATCAAAAAGTCAGTGTTACACTTGGGGACCTCTCCTTTTAGCGTCGAGGAGTCTTCGAACACTCATCGAGGATTTACTTTAACGTTCCGTTGGAAAACCGCTTTTGGTGCCGAAGTTCGGACACAAAACGAACTTATGAGGGTTTGAAACATTTCCCCCTACAAGATTATTGTCCCGACGCGGACCAAAGTTCGTGACGATAATCAAGGGGACTCTGTATAATTGCTATACATACTGGAGTGACGTCCACAACTTAGCTTTTCGCGTTTAGCCACCCTTTGCAAGTTCAAACAGAATTTGTTCTTTAAACGAAGAATAACTGTTTCTTTCGATCCCTGAGGGTGTAAAAAAAATCAGGCTTGATATCACAACTCACCTGGATAACCCTCCGGTATGACGATTTCCGGTCCCACATTGACGTCGTGCCGATAACGATGTATCAATAGAGACGCGGTGACCCGAAGCGATCTCTGTTGCTGTTTGTAGAGCAACACCGGCCTGCCGCTGGTCCCCTCGAGCCTGACAACTCTCGGCAACGAGAATCGATCCAGAAACTCTCGCAGAGGCATGTAACCGCCCCCGGAACCGGAACTACCCTCAGCAGTCGCCTCCCTGGAGCTGGGCAGGGACTTCGGCAGGGACGGCATTTCCTCGCTAGACATCGTCGAGAATTCACCGTTCGACGACATTGTTCCCCCCCACTCCCCACCCCTCCCTTTACACCAAAACACCGATCACACGTTCCGTAATCTGTGCACGACAATAGAACCTTTGATTACACCTCGAACCACAGAACTGCATCGTTAGAGTCCAAACCACTTGTCTTCTTAAATGACGGGGGTTAGAGACACCACGAAATGGGTCTGCTATAATATATCTATAGAACTTTCCACGATGATGGATCGTTCGGCGTGATCGACCCAAGAATAAATCCACCGTTCACCGTCGACAACATTTTTATCCTCATCCAATTGGGTGGGGGGATTGGGAATATGGTCACCAACTGGCACGGAAACCTGTCGACGATTACCGATTTCGGCACTTTCCTCCGATTATGTCACTGTCGCGACGGTGTCACTTTCCACTTGGTATTATAGAAACTATTATAGAACCAGCAGTGGTAATAGTACGGAACTAATCACGGTATTATCGGGGATTGATTCTCGGGATCACGATAGAAACGATCCTCGAGATCATACGGCGCGTATTCTCGCGTTCACACTGTACACTGACTGTTACCGGCGGGCAACAGCACGCAGTGGGAACGATTCACGTCCTGGACGACGACTAGATCCTTGAACTCCTTTGAACAAGTTCAATCGTTCGCGTTACGAATCCTTCTGAGTTGCATCGAGACGATCATACTCTTCTTGTACGACCACGTGTCCATCGCGAATTGTCCATCGTCGACGCTGCATGGTTCACGGAATCCCGTCATCCCTTGTTGCGCAACGACACCAGATCGAAAAAACCGTTGCCTCATCCTTCTGAGCTGACGCGATCTGGGCCTGGTTTCGCGACCTCTAGGAAATCGAAGGCAGTTTTATACACCAGAGGTTTGGCCGTGTGTCTTCACGGATCGAATGGAAATATCGATGAAGCATCAACGGGAAATACCAGCGTAATCGTGAACCCTGTTTTTGTCCTTTTCCATTGCATAAAAGACGACTTTTCAGGCGGGTAAATATCTTTGGATCGCCTCGAATCGCAGCTCTGTCCTGACTCTCCGATAAGGAGCTTCGAACTTGTTTCCGTTTAGGAGGATGAGATGTCCGAATACGTTAGAACGCCATTCGGCGCGACATCTGGTCTGAAAGAGATATCAGAAAGAGATCGGTTGATTAGAAAAGTGAATGGCGAACGTAGAGGAAGGCTACCGAATTTGGACCACTACTCTTGCTTGTTATTGTGTAAGCAATTTGCCTCGCATGATAGACGATAAAATCATTACGACGTTAACAAGGGGCTCACTATTTCGTAACAACAATAAAATTAACACATCCCCTAAATTAATGATTTTTTAATATAAGTAGGTTAATATTATGAACTATTTTGAAATAAATATCTAGATGTTTACGTGACGTCTAGGTCAATACTAATTTGAAATAATTGTCAAGATGTCTACGTGACCACTTATAAAAATATTATTAACTGCAGAACGTGCCCTTTCTCAAATTATTCAATTTACGTGAAACATTTTTCGCTACGAATATTAACAGTTACGTAAATCGCAGTGGTAATATATGATGAACCACCCTATGTGTTGTTTATTATACTGAGTTAGTTAATGCAATCACTACTATCATACAAATATTGTCTATCATACGGTGTAAATTGCTTACACATGACAAGTTACAATATTGACTTCGCGCAAACAGGGTTTCGGGTCCTTCCAGGGCTGGATTGACCATTAAGTAAAATAAACACGTGTTTAGGGTGTCAAGGGAAGGGGGAGGGGGTACAGAAATTTCCCAGTGCTAAATTCGCTATAGACCAATTTCAACAAATCATTGGTGATTGGATTTGGTGATATTAACAATTTTCGTGTATTAAAAGTCATCTGTTCTGTTTCCAACAGATAGGCGCCTGACAAAAACTATGTCAAAGGTATGTATGGAATCACAGTTTGGTCGGAAACTTTTGACAGTCACCGTAATGGGAGCACCGAGATCTTTTAAGTGCTTAGGGTTTAGGGCCTTTGAAGGTCGTAATTCAGCCTTAGATTCTTCACGTTTTTAAATATTTCGATGGCAAATTAAGTGCACCCACGATTGACAAACATATTTTGCAGGTTGAACACTCGATAGACGTTACGATTTATCGTGCAAGTGATCGTGCAACCTAGGTCGCTTCGACCGTTGGAACGACAGTTGCAACGTTTGTGGCGTGGCCATACTACTGGTAGACAATACGACAAGCTAAAGCTCTGTCGTCCTAACCGTCTATTCAACTCTTTCTGAGATTTACCCTAGGACAAATCGTTTCATCGATCGGAGCCTTTAATGATTGTTAGAGCCCTAGAGGATCAGGGTGAATCTCTGGCTGTTAGAGTGAAAAGGAAAATCGCCTGATTTGACGTTTAAAAATCGCTAGCTACTCTTGCTTGGCAGCCTGTGGGTCTGTCTGTGTACACATAGGCTGCTCAGAAAGGTTAAGCTACCGATGACAAGTTTAGGGTCACAGCACTTAAACAACAAAAAACAGGTGGCTTCTTGCCTTTCCACTATAGCACCCAGAGAAAATATACACTCTTTGATCATCTTGGACACTTTTACATCCTACGAGGAAAACGAAATATTTTAAATTGGAAGAGTAGAAAGAGTATTTCAGACGTATTAGTAGAAGAAAATAAATGGGACCATATAAGTATACAGTCCTGAAGAAGTACCCTCAGGATATCTACGTAGCACACCAACTCCGAGGGTTACTCCTAAACGTCACTATAGCTCGGGGAGGCACTGTATACACGTTTACGTTACGTCATCTACCGATTCACAACGTTAGGAGCCGTCAATCTACCGATTCGTTAGGTACAGTCACCTACCACGATTCAGGCCCGTAGGGAGTCCATCACTTTCTAAAGATCTCCGATTCGTCGTGTGTCTCGATCCAAGCTTTTTGCAAGAATCTTCCGTACGTAGGCACAAGAAAACCCTCTTCGATCGAGGATGGAACAACCGATCTCGCCGGCGGACGCGAAGTCACTGAGCCCCGGCGTGACTGAGCCAGAGCGTAAGAGGGGCCCACACTCAGTCAGCCAGGCCCAACTAACACAGACGCTCGCGGCCGTGATTGGTTGTGTATCGTGTGCCGTCTCTACTATACGCAGAACGACCCTGTCTGTGCCCCCACCCCTGTGTACCTATACGCGTAGCAGCACTGCGAGAGCGACTTAGCCCGGCGGACCAACAGAATATGGTACATAAGTACATACATATACAGTGAGAGTCAAAAGTGAGTATACACATTGAAAGCATGGGTAGTATAAATATTTATTCATGTTTATTTCTCTCGATTTAGAATCGAATATTTCGTACAGATACTCTGTTGCATTGAGATCTGGTGACTGTGAAGGGATCACTTCACTGATAACTGGTAGATTAAGTATTTTAAAGTGAAAAGCAATGGGATATCTGATCGGGATTAAGGGATAATGAAAATTCCTCGGAAAATATATTTTATACCTTTTCACCCCTTTAGGGGCTGAATTTTGAAAAATCCTTTGTTAGTGAACACCTACGTTCTAAGGGAAAGCTGTCACTAAAATTTCATTTTTTAGGTTCAACGATTTGGTTTAGTTGGGTCTTCCTTTTTTATATATGTACAGTGAGAGTCACAGATGCTCTATTAGATTGAAATCTGGTGACTGGTGGAGGGAGGATACGAACGATTGAAAGTGTTTTCAACAAACAATTTTTCACCACCTTTGCTGTACACATATTTTGTATCACGATTTCTCACTAAAAGACCCATGAATGTACTTGCAGCTGAATTTGATTTTGAAATATTTAAATGTCCAAATCTGTCCATAGTACTACGAATAAAAACCGACTGTCCTAACATCAGAGGTTGCCATGCTACCCACAAACCATAATAGTACACCCAGCAGGAAACTCGGCTTCCACTAGGGGAAAAAGTGGCGTAGGGGAAGGGCCTCCTACCGCTTGGTACCGGGAATTACTGAAATCTATGCCAAATTAACATCGACTTGAGTATTTATTTCACTACTTGAAGTAAATTTACAAATTAGTAAAAGACCCTTACCCCTACGCCGCTTTTTCCCCTAGCGGAGTTTGTTCGTGACATCCACGATGTTTAACGATATTTACCAAATTTCGTGGTTATAGATCCGAAGTACTTTTTTTCAAACATATTGGTTACCTATTTATCCCGAACACGTTAAGAAAATCATATCCGACTGTATTAGTACCATGATCAATAGTAGGATGCTACAGAAGTACTACCACGAACCTCACCTTTTGTAAGGTGTACACTTAGTTTTGACTCTCACTGTACGTGCCTGGTGTGCACGGCTGCGCCGCGAGAAGTGGGCTTATTCAATAGAGGCTTTCTATTGTGCGCGCTCGCGAGGTAGCCTGTTCAGCTTCGGACAGCGGCGAACCGCCCTTAATAGTTTCACTGGAAAACGTAACAGGGTGTGGTAAGACGAAGTCGCTGTGTGCAAACGCCGTCTCCGGTTACAAGTATCAACAGTTTGACAGCGGACAGGAGCGCGCAGAGATACTGTTTGCTACCGGGGAATTAGCCGCCGCGGAGAGGCTGTACGAGGGAGGGCGTTCGATAGAGGCTTCTGGGTGTCGTTTTTTGATTCCGTGTGGTTCATTGGAACGGTTTTTGACATGAATCGGCTGGAATTGTGAATAACAGATATGAAATTTAATTGAAAATTTCCATCTTCCTGCGCGGAATTCATGAGGAATTAACTGTCCATCATCCTCTTTGAATTTTGAATCTCTTAAGAGGGCAAGCCTGGTGCAAGTAATTAAAAATGAACGAATTTTTGGGAATTTCTTGTGATGATAGTATTAATCAGTATATTTGGAGTTTTGAGAATACTATGTTGTATAACTAAACTGAATACAAAAATTGTTATGTCGTGGGCCTGCATTATCAAAGGTGAGGACAGAAAAAAGGTAAAACGGTGACCCTATCAAAAACCGATCATCCC